AACCCTCTCTATTCTAGCTGCTGGGTTTTAGCCCTCTGGGTTTTCCAGTGAGTGTTCGTAGACCAGTTTCCTCAGATGCTGTCTTATTTCCCACCACTTTCTACCATGCCTCTGCTGATCCATGTGTTATCCTGTAGGTGTTGTGTCTCAATCCGGTCATATTTTGGAGCTCAGTGGGATACGTCGTCACCTAGTTTTGTTGTAAATGTTCATTTGTTGTTGTAATTATTTTTTCAAAGCCTAGGGTTCTGTCTGTTTTTCATGGAGGAATTCAGGGTTATTTAAAAAGCATGCCCCCCATTGCCATCTACACTGAATTTGTCATGTTCATTTTTTTTTGTATTATTGCCATTTTAAAATAACTTCTGAACAGATATTTTAATCCATAATTTTTTAATTAAACATATGCAAGTTTTTCTAATTATTTGGCCATACTGTTACTATGAATGATTCAAGGGTGATATGGCCTCCTTGATCAGGATCATTCTTTTTATAATAACATTTCAGTGATGTTCTCTTTTGGTAGAGTGAAAATTACAGGCTATTTTTTTTAAAAGTGTTAGTCTTGGAAATTTAAATATTTTGGAGTATTATATGACTTAACAGAATATTTATTTATGTCACTAAAAGAGTAACAGACGCTTTAGTGTAACATTTTCTGCACTGCTATCATCTCTTTCTAAGATGTTTCAACCTATACGTAGAGCTTCTAAAAGAGGCAGCCTATAGATTACATCCAACCTCACCCTTCTCATCCACCCCAATCTTAACTGACAGTAATAGAGTATAAATAGAGCATAATAGAGATATTATGAGATAGAGAGCATATAGACATAGAGAGCAAGGTCTAATCTGCTTCCTGACAGTCAGCCCCCAATGTACAACTGGACCTACACCTTTAAATCCAAACTCTAAGAGAAGCCACACTGTTCCTGTGAAGCGTATCCTCCATCAGTGCAGCAAATCAAATAAATATAACAATTTTGGACTAACAGTTGTTTTGTCTCCTTGAGCTGGTGGATTTTGATACTTGCCTATATATCTATTCTAATTTTTATGCATTAGTTCACAGATTTAAAAGCTATAATTATTCTTATATAAAGTTCACTAAGTTCTAAATAACTGCTGTCTTCAAAAATCCTTAATTATTTCCAAGAGAAACACAGGAAAGGTATATAAAAATAGCTACTGTCAATGAGTGACCTTAAAAGGTAAGAAGTACATTGAGTACTCTAGAATCATTCAATAGTAATTTAACACAGGTTGACTAAAAAAGTGATAGATAAGATCACTGAAAGACACTATTTTAGCTTGTATTTTAAAGGACACAGACAATGTAAAATATCAATGACTAATTATTCTATAAAAAACCAAATGAATACAAGTATAAACTAACAATGAATATAAAACAACAAAGATGCAATTCAAATAAATTCTTATTTGAAATTAAGAATAATTGCCTTCCCTTTTCATAACATTCAAGTATCTTCAGTTACCTAAACCCAACTTTGTTCCTACCACTCAGATATATATGACAAAGTCAAAGCAATGAGATTTAGTCATTATAAGTACTCTTTTTGAAGTCAATGGCTAGCATAAAGGTATTTTTATCATGTAAATCTCCTGAGTCCTTTACAATAGTTTGATAGTTTTTCTTCTCAGAGGAGAGGAAGTGTTTCAAATTAGAGAAAGAAGGGAAATGGAGGAGAGGGGGGAAAAAAAAAGAATGATCTAGAGTACATGTTCAAGAATGAGAACATGAAAGGGCATGTATTTCAGAGACCGGGGTGGAAAGCAAGAATACACCTTGGATGAGCATAGCAGCTAATTCGTGACTGTGGATGACTGATCAATACAGAGAATTCTTATTATAGAACACAACATTTTATCTGTCTTACCACCTTATTTTCAAAACTTACCTCTTCCAGAAATTATTAGTAACAAAAATAATTTTCTAGTCAAGTATAGAGAAAATACTGAATATTATTAGCTAGGCAATGTAACATAAACAATAAGATACTTCCTATTTATAAGTGAGGAATGATTTTATTAAAATTATATAAATAAAACAACACAGGATTACAGAATAGCGGACATTAATAAGAAGCTGGATTCAAAGGATGATAACAATTTGGGGGAAAGAAAAAAGGAAAGAGATCCAATGCAGAAGACATAGTTGTAGAAACACAAGGAAATGTGATATTGTGTAACTTGTTTTCAATAATTAATGTTTTCTATAGCAAGAGAATGGAGACTAGTTGAGTCTGAAAAGGAAAGTTGTAACTAAATTGTGAGAGATATAGAATGTTGTTCTGTTATACAGCAGATGTTTCTAGGTTTTTGGAATGTATAGTTTGGCAGAAATTTGGAGGACATATCCTAAGTGTGTCAACTTTCTATTTAAAAAAATAAAAATTAAAACTAAAATTCTAACATTTGCTATATTGTACTAAGTTAAGTAATGTTAACACAAAAAAGAATATGAACATAACATCTACATACTTTTAAAAAATATGATAAACTCTGGACGCCAAAAAGTTAGAACATAAAATTGTATTCTGCCAGATGAAAACAAGGTGAACTTTCAATATATACCTTGTTCCAGTGTTTCATTTTTAGCATAGTTATTTTTTAAAAATCCAAGAGGCATGTTCTTAATACTCTTTCAGAGTACTCAATTCAGAGTATTTTAGGTAAACTTAGGGAAGCCCAAGAAAAACAGCTCTCAGTTACCTACCCAGCCCTTTCTTCTACCTTCTTTCTGCAGCACTGGAAGAAATAAAAATACAGACCAGGTGTCTGATCATGGCAAATTCTGGGAAGGGGCTACGTATGTGGGGTCTTGCCTGATCAACATAAAGCAGTTAATAGTTATCTGGCTGTAATTCCTTAAAATTGTCACAAACCGTCACTGAGGAACCAGGAATGTGAGTCTTAATAACTTAAAATAATTCCTTCTTTGCTTTGGCTGCTGGAAAATTTAGTGCTGATTTGTGTTCCAGTTTTAATAACACTACAGGACCCATGCTAACATTTCTAAATTTATCCTCCATTTATTTTAGCATTTTGACCACTATTTATATATTCTTGTATAAGTTTGCCAAATCATTTTTGGAAAAGACATATATAAATACAGAAGAAAGACTTTAAGTGAATGAGGAAACATTTAAGATTTATTTTTTCAATAATGTTTATTGATTTTTTTTTCTTATTGTAAAGTAACACATGTTATGGGGTCATTACACTAAATATTCTCTCAGTCTAGAATGTTTTTCTAGTAAGGTGTATGACTCACCTCCTGTAAGTCTTTGCTTAAATGTACTTTTTGCCACTGGTCTATTTAAAACTCTATAGCATGTTAGAAGATGGTAAATGCTACATTAAAGGGTATGTCCAACACAGGGTTTGGGATGATAAAAACGGCAGGGTCAAGTTGCGGTTTATTTAATAAATCACCCTCTTTAAAACTGCAACCTGACCCTGCTGTTTTTATCATCCCAAACCCGTGTTGGGCTCATCCTTTAACGTAGCATCTACCACCTTCTAACATGCTATATAATTTATTTATTGTGTTTAATGTTTATCTAAGTGTCCTCTCCTTGGTGGAATATAAACTCAAGGCAGGGAATATTTTCTTAATTAAGGTGTGTTTTGTTGTTGTTTTATTAAAGTATCGTTGGCACGCAGCGTTAGATTAGTTTCAGGTGTACAACATAGTGATTCAACAACTTCGTATGTTATGCTATGCTCACCGTCTGTCACCATCCAACACTATTACAATACTTCTCACTGTGTTCCCTATGCTGTAACTGTTCATCCCTGTGACTTATTCATTCCATAACTGGAAGCCTGTGTCTGCCACTCCCATTTTGCCCATCTCCCCACCCCTCTCCTCTTTGGTCACCAGGAGTCTGTTCTCTGTATTTATGGATCTGTTTCTGCTTTTGTTTGTTCACTTGCTTTCTTTTGTAGATTCCACATCTTCGTCTGTGATATGTGAATATATTCTAAGTACCTAAGAAAATGCTTGGCCTAGAACAAGAACTCAGTGTTCTTTTTTTTAAATGAATAGCTCACCCATGTGTCACTGTTCTAAGACATTTTATAGGCATTAAATAATTTAGTTCTCACAAGAACCCTGGGAGGGAGGTGCTATCACTGACTACATCTTACAGAAAGGATGTAACTTTCTAAGTTACTTTCTAAGCTAACCGATTCAAGTTATTAACTATTACTGCCTCTCTTGTGTAAAAGCAGTTGAGACAATGATAGAACAGTCACAGGAAAATGACAGTAAATAGAAAGTGAAAAGCAAAAGTAAGGCTGCTAAATCCAAGGAATAGTACCTACGGCCATTATGTCCTCACAGGATCATCTAGATATTGAGATTACCCCTTTCTGAAGCTCATGAATATTTATAAAACAAACTTGGTAAAGAAGTAAGGCTTCAGAAAACCATATTTTCAAAGCTGCTCTCCTAATACAGGTGTATTAATTAAATCTTCACAACAATTAATTTATCTGGTTTCCCTCTTCACTCCATTGAAGCTGCTGTTGAGTAAAAGACAACAACTTCATCAACTCCAGGTTAAGTATTTCTTTACATTTTCTCAGTGAAGAATTGTCACATTACAAATGTTAGGGGAGTAAGAAGTCACTTGCAGAAGCACGGCTCTTACAGAGAGTAATGCATAGGACACACACCGTCTAACGAAGCCTACACCACACCCCTGGTAGACTAGGATTGTAAGAGCCAGAGTCTCCTAGTCCAACACTTTTTCACACTTCTCCATTCTGTTATTAGCACTGACTGTGAAAACATGTTATTCTTAAAAAATGAATAAGAAGAAAGCATACAGGAGTATCGTATTCGAATTTGTGGAAGCAATGTCTTTACGTTCTTTTGGCAATAAATATTCCTCCAGAAGTACAAATTACGTCATGATTAAGAGATACATTATAGGAAACTAAAATAATTAGTATATAGAGAGAAATCATACCTTCTATCAATAGCTCTTGTCCATGACTGCCAAGAAGTGTACGAGATAGGAATGGGGCAAAGTCTACAAAAATTTCACGAAGAAGAGGAGCAACTTTTTCTAAAGCTCTTTCAAGTTTTGCAGTGATGCTGTTGAAATTAAGACATAAAGACTAGTAAATATAATTCAATATAAAAAGTCAAATAAAGTTTACTTCTAAATTAAAATCTTGAAAAATCACGAAAATACAATTCTAACCCATGGAATCGTACCAGTTTCAGTAGAAGGGACACCCTGTACGGTTTCACATCAGACATAAGGCTACTTTGAAGACTTCAGCTAACGTGGAATGACTATTCTGTGAAAAGCTGTTGGGATTGTGTAACCCGCAAGGGCCATAGACTCTGCTCGTAGCTCTAAGGAGCTTCAAGAAAAGTTGTTCTTCTATGTCTTCTGTGACTATCCTTCTATCTATGAAAGAGAGCTGTTTTGAACACCCCCTACAGGGATCATTATGTCGGTTACAAAGAATTAACCTTTGTTCGCCAGAGTTACCTAAAAATTCCCTGGAAGGCTAGACTAATAACGCAGTAACTAGAATCCTCTGTAATACAACTAAATTGCTGTGCTAAAGTAGGCATTTTCCACCTCATAAGCCCATTTACTTTAATTATTGATCCCTGTAATATGATTTATATTATTTCATTAAATTATATGGCCTTATATAATCACTATTTGACATTCTTAAAAATACTTTAAGTAGTGTATGTAAAAAAAGAACAGAGGTGAAGAAAATAATTCTGCTCAAGCAAATAAATAATCTGGTAACATCTAACTATCTGTCTTAGAAGTAAGTGCTCTGAAGTAAGACTGCTTGGACTAGAATGCTGGTTCTGAGGCGACCTAGGGGAGCGTGGGACATTAAGACTTCCTTTGCCTACAAAATGAAGATGACTGTAGTACGACTGGTGAGGATTAAATGAGCTAAGGCATGTAAAGTGCACAGAAAAGTACCCGGCACACTGTGAGAGGTCAGTCACGGTAGCTCTTATCACAACTACTTTGAATACAACAAAACTATATTTATTCTTACAAAATGTGGCTCTGACTTAAAAAAGCAAAATCACTATAATAATACAATGGTAGATGAACACACACTGTTCTACATCGAAGACATCTATGGCAAAAAATTGAACAATGCTTCAAAATAAAAGTTCAGCCACAAAGCTAAGTAACATTTTGGCTATGTATGAGGAAAAACATAAATGCCAAAAAGGTTATTAATCACAGAATAATTTTCCATATATCACTAATACTTAAAACTAAAGAACTGCATTGTGAAATGATTAAATAGGGATAAGGGAACAGACAGGATTCCTTCTTTCTTAACTTGGAAATAGCATGATCTGATTCATTTGTGTACTCAAAGCCTCACCATTAGCACTTCTATTTGACTTTTTCTTCTCTTATTTGGATGAACAGTTTTAGACAAAAACTCAGAAAACTGGTGTGAGCACTTCCACAAAGACTATTCTGGAGGAACAACTCGCGGCAAGAAAGGGACTCGGGTGCAGCTGTGAAGACTTGCCGGAGATAAACAGAATTTTCAATATTCTCCCTTACTCCGTTATTCCTGAATCTAGAACCTTCTTTTAACACAATTGTGTAGATTAGAATCATCTGTAATGCTGGTTAAACAGACTTCTAGAACCCCATCCCCCTAACTTCTGATTCAGCAGGTTTGGGTGTACTGTGAGAATTTGCACTTCTAACACATTCTCAGGTGGCTTGCTACTGCTGATCCAGGAAACACACTTGGAGGATAACTGTTTCAGTGAGAAGATTTACTACTAGTAAACTAGAATAAAATAGCTAGCAAAGACAAGGCTACCTGAAGTCATAAAATAATCACAGTAAGTTATGTCTGACTTTAATGAATATAGATGGACAGAGCTCCTTTTTCATGTCTACTTAATTCATTCCTTCTTATCTCCAGGATCATGTCCTATGACTTCCCAACTAAAGTAATCCCATCCTTTAAGGAAAGATGAGTAAGAATGAGAAGAGCAAACCTATGAAAAGGAGAAAAATCCAGATGTTGTTGTTTGCTTCTATACTTGAATTCTGAGTGAAGCATGAATATTTTTATTTAAGATTAATTAATGAGAGTGAAATTACTTCAGAAAAATTTTAGATGTATAAAGGTCCACATCAGTTATATTATCGTAATATACTATTGTGTAATTAAATCCAGGTGTATTTTTTCCCTAGTTTATGACTTTTTCCCATAATTTATGGGTTTATGTATGATTTAGAAGCATCAGAATTGCAACAATAGTGTTCTAAGTGATTAAGTTACAGATCAAATAGAAACTTCAATTAATCTAAGTAAATATTTACATGAGTGTGTATACATATGTACTAATTATCTTAAGGGTAATGGATAAAAACAGACATTTCTCAGTAAGTGAATCCCTACAATAGGATTTTTTAAAAAGTGTTTTTAAACATATATTCATTTCTGAGAGGCAGAGACAGAGCACAAGGGTGAAGGGGCAGAGAGAGAGGGAGACACAGAATCCGAAGCAGGCTCCAGGCTCTGAGATGTCAGCATAGAGCATGAGGCAGGGCTCGAACCCACGAGCTGTGAGGTCATGACTTGAGCTGAAGTTGGAAGCTTAACTGACTGAGCCACCCAGGCACCTCCCCTCCGCAACCCCCGCAAAATAGGATTTTAATAAGCAACTAATTTCTTATAAAACTCAATAGAATATTAAATGATGCTCTTACATATCATCCTGTAAACATAATTTTAATTTTCTAATGAGGGACAAAGTAACATTTTACCCAGCAAGAGACCAAATGTTTTAAGTACATAAAATCATCATTAAATAATACTGACAGATAGCTCTATCAAACAACAAGCTATGCTAAGTGGAAATGTTTCATCCTCACTTTTTTACAGTGAAGAAAATGGACAGGGTTTTGTTATTGTTGTCATTAAGAGTTACAGCTTCCTCACAATGTCTTTTAAAGGAAAGTAAACTTCAGATAAAGTTTAGAATTCGAGAAAAATAATAACAATTCTACTTTCATTTAGGACACTGCTTATGTTGTGAGTTTGTTTGTTTCTTTGTTTGTTTGTTTCTTTGTTTATTTTGAGAATGAGAGAGATGCAGGGATGGGGGCTGCAGAGAGAAAGAATCCCAAGCAGGCTCTGCACTGTTACTGCAGAGCCTGATGCGGGACTCGAGTTCATGAACCATGAGATCATTACCTGAGCTGAAACTAAGAGGTGGATGCTTAACTTATTGAGTCACCCAGGTGCCCTGTGAGTTTTATTTTAATAAACTCCTTTATGTTTGTGTCACTTCATAAAGTTATAATTCTTACTTTTAGTTTTAACTTTTGTATCCTCCTAGGTCCTTTTAGCATGTCATAAATATAATAAATACTTGATAATTTAATTTGGTACATTAAAATTCTTAAATTTCCTCACTTCTTACATCATAAAAAAGTTATGTATATAATAATAAAATCTAGAATGAAAGTAATTATGTAACTTTAAGTAATGTACAATAAGATACAACTCATATATAAAAGAAATTATTACACTAGTGAAATTCCACAACAGATTTCAGTATTCAAATGCTCCTATGTAAATTAGGAAATATAGGCATAGGTCAGTGAAGTGATTTGCTTAAGTAAACTTAGATAAAAAGGAAAGATTAGGAGAGTATTAATGAAGCAAAACCATAAGTTGTAAATTCTTAATCAGCTACATACTATGACTGGGAATCGACAAACATTGACTTTAAATATTTTGTTTAGTTTTCACTAAGTTTCTAATGTGAAATATAATTTAACATACTAGACAAGTGAAGAGTAAATGTGCCCTGAATCTTAGGTTCTGTAACCTTGTGACCTACTGGTAAAGTTTTTTCCACTATAACTGTCTAGGTTTATAGCAACTAATGAACACGTGAAGCTGAAAAAATTCTTGCCTACTTTATCTCCACATGGACTTCTAAATTAAAAAACTGACATTTTCTCCTTATTCTTTTTAAACACAATCATACACATTTTCAAGTGCATGAGTACAGATTAAGAAAGAAGATGAAATTACAGAAGATTAAGAAATTGAATCTCAATAGAATTCTACTGCAAGGAAGTATTTTATTCACTCTTTTGTAAGGTAAATTGAATTCCAAACATGCATTTTTTTCAAGTTTTAAGAAATGTAATGCTGGGATGTCCTTAGATAGGTATAAAAGCTTTTTTACAGTGCATGTTTGGAAATTGTTAATTGCATGTGTCTTAGACAAAAAGAAAAAAAAAACAAACTGAAATGGAAATACTCCTTCTTTCTAGTGAACTAGTCAAATAAAATATAAAATTTAACTATAAAGTTCAGAAAATATGTCATTTAACTGAGACCACACAACAGACCTAGTGCTATAAAGAGTAAGGCTAATTGTCTTTTAAATAGGTGATATAAAAATGAAATAATAAAACTTTTCTTAGTAAATAATATTTTTAACACAAGAGTCGTATATGCTTCTGAGTGGGGCAGCCAGGCACTCCTGGTTTTAGTGCTTTCCCACAGAATGACCTAGGTCCTCCCTTCCAATCGCCTCACTTTTCCTCAGACCAGTTCTCCCTTCCCACTTATAGGTGATGTGAAGAACATTCTTCAGTAAACCGCCTGTATACGGTGCTCTGAGAATATCTTTCCTGTGACTGTAATCTGTTAATGGGTGCTGTTAGTATAGTGCTTAGCTCACATAATATTTTTTGAAAATACAATTTGAAATATCATGAGTTAGAAATTCAAATTAAAAAAAATAGAAAACTTCCACTTAAGATGCAGAAAGCTGGAAATGGTCACTCCCACACTGATCACAAGAAAAAGCTAGAAAATACATAGAATTATAGCACTTTTAGGATCTAGCAGATTGCTGAGATCGCAGGACAACCAATTAGCCTTGAAATCTGAAGAAAGACCAGACCCTTAAGAAGACAAGGGAGGGAGGAAGAACTTGCTTCCCCGGGGCAGAGCCCAGGAAGAAGAAACACTGGGTCCTCCATAGACTGGTAAGAGGAAATCAGCTAACACTTTTAATAAGTTGATCGAGTCCGAGTGTGAGCT